AACATTGCAGGGATGATATCATCAAAGAACTGTAAGAAAAACATCAACAACCAAGAATACCATATCCAGCAAAACTTTCCTTCAAAAGGAGGGAGAAATTAAGACTTCTCCAAATAAATTAAAGCTGAGAAAGTTCATTACTAGTAGGCCTAACCAACCTCAACAAGAAATGCAAAGGGAAAAGTATTTCAAGTTGAAATGAAAGGATGATAAATAGCAACACAAAACTTTATGAAAATATAAATTATGCTATCCAAGATAAATATGTAGACAAATATAGCAACCTGTACTCTTGTAATTTTGGTGCATAGAATTCAAGTGACAAACATAAAGAAATTAAATCTATGTTAATGGGTATGTAATATATGAAGATGTAATTTGTGACAACAACATAAAGTAAAGTTAGAGCTGTGAAGGAGCTGAGTTTTCATATGTGATTGAAGCAATTTGTTTCAGATAGAATGCTAAGACTTTATGATGTTTTGTTTAATTCTAATCATATTCAAAATGAAAATATCTATGGGAAGATGTACAAAAGGAAATGAGAAGATAACCAAAACATATCAGTACAAAGAGAAAAAAATTTAAACAGTAGATCTACTGTTTGATCCTGCAATTTCTCTATTAGGTATATACCCAGATGATCAAAAATTATTTCACAACAAAGACATTTGCACCAGAATGTTTACCGCAGCCCAATTCATAATAGCCAAGGCATGGAAATAGCCCAAGTACCCATTGACCCATGAATGGATTAACAAATTGTGGTATAAGTACATCATGGAATACTATGCAGCCATAAAAAAGATGTAGGCTTCACATCTTTTATGTTTATATGGATGGAGCTGGAACATGTTCTTCTTTATGAAGCATCTCAAGAATGGGGAAAAAAGTATTCAATGTACTCAATACTACTATGAAATCAATATATAATCATCTATACCTCATATGAATGGCAAAACATAACTATAGTCCAGAAAGTAGAAGGGAAGAGGAGAGAGAGGAGGGGAGGAGGCAGGGTATTTGGGGGGACCACACCCAATGTACATGATGCAATGGTACATTTCAAAATTATTAAGAAATGAGTATAATTGTGATGGATGTGTTACTTAATCCAATGTAAGCATTTCAAATTGTATATCAAAGCAGTACCCTGAATGCCATAAGTGCATCAGTGTACAAAGTTATGATTTAATAAAAAATAATAATAATGAAAAGAAATTTTTTAAGAGCTAAAGGTTCTCAAATCAAAAAACTAAACTATACCCCAAGAAACAAGAACAAACTAATAAGGAAAAAAAGAGAAATTATAGAAGTTTCAATAGAAAAAATAATTCTATGAAAAGAAAGAAGTTAATAATGTTGAGACATCAGCAACTTTGAATACAGAGCAATACCTTCCCAATTAGGCCAAAAAATAATTCAGCTTAGAATATCATCCTATCTGAAGCCATTAATCACTTAGAATTATGAATTTTTTGATTTAACATGTGGTTCAGCAAACTTGGGAGAAAAAATGGAGACTTGGAAACAAACACAACAAAAAAGTGGGATTTGAGAAACATGGGTCAAACCACCTAGGAATATGGGAAATACCAGGACTACAGCGGTGTTCCCAGTTTAAAGAACTACCAGTCCAGGCTACACATCAGGAATTGTCGGTAGTTACTGAGCATTTGGAAAAGTCATTCATTTGCTGTGAAGTCTGTATGGTAAACTAGAAAAAAATAGCAACAGACAAATAGAATACAAAGACAATTAATAAAAAATAAAATGGTCACTACCAACTTTGTTATTAAAAAGGAAACATTAATTACTCCATGGCTCATCAATGACCAATTCTGACACCATGTAATAATTTAAATCTGGACTTATTTAACCAAAATCTGTAATAAAAATATATTGAAAGAATGAGGCCAAGAAGGAAAAGTGGATTTGGATGCCTAGAAAATTTAATTTCTCAATAACTATAATAAAAAGCCCAGAGATAATACACAAAGTCGATAAATCAAAAGAGAACTGCATAATCACTTAAGGGAATAGAATATGTCTAATTAAAGTAATTGAACAATTATATCTAAAGGCCAGGACCAAGGTTACCTAGAGATGGAGAACAATAACTTCTGTTTTTCTCTTGCTCATATTTCAGTAACATTTTATTTTTTAACATACGTGCAAATTTTTATTTGTGGATAAAAAAATTTAGTAACTACTTCCAGCCCCTGCTAAAACATACTTTCACGTACTAGTTATTAAATTGGGAATTGGTTACAAATTCACACACACACACAAAAATCTTAGTTCCTGGCTGGGTTGTAAGAAGCAAAGTTCATGGAGTGTAAGCAGTGACAGTGCACTGACTGGGGCATGGACCGCAACTGTGATGACCTTCAGGTCTGAACAAAAATGTCAAACAGGAGGCACCAACTTCAGTAAAACTTGTTTTTTTGAAAGTATTAATAATGTTTATAGAGATTACAAGACTAAAAATTAACTTATAAAATTCTCTCTCAGACCAATTTGTAGACAATGCTTTACTAAATATCTTCCAGATTTTCATATCATTTCATATGGGGTTATGAAATTCAAAACATTATTTACACACAGTGACTAAAACATAGATAAATGCTTTATCTGATCACTGTTGATACTACATTGTAGAAAAACCTCTGTGGCGCATGCCTATAATCCTAGCACTCCAGGAGGCCAAGACAAGAGTTTGAAACCAGCCTGAGCAAAAGCAAGTCCCCACCTCTAATAACAATAGATAAAAACGATGTGAGTGTACTGGTGTAGTGTCAGCTATGCAGGAGGCTGAAGCAGCTGGATCCCTTGAGCCCAGGAATTCAAGGTTTCAGTGACCAGTGATAACACCACTGGAGTCTAGCTGGGGTGACAGAATAAGACTGTGTCTCATTAAAAAGAAAAAAACAAAAAAAGAACCCTCCCCTCCCCCCAAACCCTGGAAAAACTCTTCTCTCATGTTTCTTGATAAAATTGTCACCATAATGAGTGACCTAGCAAACTATGTGTGACTGTGGTGACTATAGATTCCAGGCCTCTCTAGGAACAGTAGGTGTTTAGAACCCACTGACATCCCAAGGCAAAGAATTCTGAATTAAAGAAGTCATTTCAGGGCGGTGCCTGTAGCTCAAAGGAATGGGGTGCCAGCCCCATATCCCGGAGGTGGCAGGTTCAAACAGCAACAAAAAATAAAGAAGAAGAAGAAGTGATTTCAACATGCCCATGAGGAAAACATGTTTTCCCATGAGGAAAACAATGCCAATACTAGAATGCGAGGGACAAAGGCTCATTTTAATCAAAAGGAAATACATTTTTAACCAAATTAGTTCATAACTATTCCATAAGCGCCTGTGAGAATATTTTTAGCAAAGGAAAGGTCCATGGTAAGTAGGAAAATAAAAGTGATAATGGCTGACAACCATTAATTTTTTCAAAAAGTATACTTAAAATGATCTTGAAATATCTAAGAGAGTAGAGTTGTTAAATAAGTGTTTTCATGAATTTTTGTAATCTATGGTCTAGGAATGCCATAATTTAAGTTTTACTTACTTAATTTACTTTCTATAATTTAAGAATTTACTATTATGTAACTTAATAATAACTTAAATTCTGCCTCTGGTTTATGACATAGAAAGGAAGATTAAATATTTTAGGGGGCGGGAGGCATTGCTATTGTCTGATTTTCCCCACATGTATATAAATTAGCTCAGCTGTAGTCATTATTAATAGATATAGCACCTTTAATACCTAGGGGTAACAAAACAAAATTGAGGTGAATTTACAGTTAATCTTAAAAGTTAAATAACAAAAAATAGCATCAATTATGACAAGCTTAAATAATAAACACCCTTTTACATAAATCAAGTAAACTCTCAACTTTAATTAAAATTTCAATTAAAAACCCTCTAAAACCAGTGGGTCTGAACGAATATATTCACATATAATGAGTCTTTAAAGGGACTCACTAATTTCAAGCAATGGTTGTCATTTCTGTTCATAAGTTTTCATACGGAACTCCAAACCGTATGTTTGTAAAAAGGTTCCTGAGCTTAAAGGGAAAGTGAGCAGAAAGTAACAGTTGAAACAAGTCTTGAAATAATAGCTAACATTAGGAGTTTGGATAGATTCATTTTGTTTAATCCTTATAACAGTGACCTGTGGAGGGTTCTATGATTATCCTCATTTTACAGCTGAGAAAATTGAAGACTGCAACAAAATTAATTAATTTGCTCAAGGCCATCCATTTCAACCTGGTGCCTCCTTTTCATGGACTTTTAAGTTATTAAGAGAAGAGCCAAAGGTTTCTGCTCATACCGTCCTATTTATAACCACAATTGTCCTGGAGTCTTCCCTTAGCCTTCAATAATAAATCTACCCTGCCTTAGTGACCCGGACGTTCACAGGTATCTCTCGGTCTTTTCCCTGACAGTATATACAGCTTCACTATGTACCTGACTTGGGACTGATATTGGGATTTATCTATAAAGGAATACTAGTGCTGTGCCTACAGTCTGGAGCCAGCCTGATGTGGACGGGGCAGTTCTGGTTTGATCAAATTCTTAATAATTCAAACTAAGAAAAATCTATTCAATGGGTTCTTCAAAAAGGCAAACAACTTCCATTTTTATGAACAATTGTTATTAAATCCCTGCTATGCAATGTTTTCATGAGGTGTAAAACTACTTTTAATATAGGACAGCTGTAGAAAACTGTAGGGAGCTGTTTTCTCTTAAATATTAGTCAACTTCCTCATTTTCTGAATGAAGAACATGAAAGTGAAGAAGATACATGATTTGCCTAAGATCTTAATGTTCTTCAGAAACAGAAAGCCACAACCCAAATGTAGGTCTGTCTCCAAGCTTCTATGCACGTGTCCTTTTTAATTTTCAAGAAAGCTAAGCTGATTATATTCAAATTTGAAACTAATAAGTCATTTAAATGATTGATAACACTGAAGGCAAACAAAATAATCTTACCTGTAAGAACCGTACATCACTTTCTGGCAGTCAACTAACAAAAATTTCTGTTCCATTTTTCCATGGAATTTGGCCCCCGTTTTTGAAACATAATCTTGGCCTTTAACTGTCCGCACACGAATATTCTAGAATTATATGTAAATATGAAGTGAAAATTATGGCTAGAAAGGGGATATTTTAAAAACTAAAAGTACATAATCAAGATAAAACCTTGACCCCACCCCGAAAAATGACCAAGGAAATTTTTGAATAATAGAAAAAATTTGGTATAAAGAAAACTTCACATCATGTCCTAAAAATTAAACACTTACGGAAAATAATTACTTAAAATACATATTTTAGCATAGCTTAAATAGGAAATATTACTTTACATTTCTACAGAATGGTTTCATAAATCACTTAAGATGTTATTATAATAACACATTTGGGGTTATGGTATTATGATGCTATTAACAAAATAACTTAAATGAAAATCTATTCTCCTTTTAAAAAGTTAAATGTGACTGACAGCGTGATGCCCAAGTACTTTGACGAGCAATCTCTGCCGGATCATAGACGCACTTCAGTCAGCCGTTTCAAGGTTGTACATATAAAACTGAAGCGTAAGTGTGGTTGGCAGCGAAGTTAACTCAGAAGCTCGTGTCTCTAAGCAAAGCACGCTATAAAACACTCATGGAGATGTGTGTTTTCAGTCGCATTCTGAAAAGTACAGAATGATCAATATGCCCCCTTAAATACATATTGATTTTTTTACTTTTAACTTCGCATGCCTTAAATTGAACTTAGATAAAAATGGCACATAAAATACTTGAGGAAAAAAAAAAAAACACGTAGAATTCTTACCCTGAGACGTTGAACTTGACACCCCTGTTTCTCAGTCATATTTAGAAAATGACTGAAACTGGACTCATCAAGCAGAATGTACACAGATATCCCTCGAGTCGATGCCTCTACTATTTCTTTGAAAATGTCCACATCTGTAAATAGATCCATCACCAAAGCAATCACCTGTTAAAGATGAGAATAGGAAGCAATTTTAGAAAACTTAAATGAGGAAGATTAAGAAATAGCTAACTTTCAGTACAGATAAAGCAAGAGCAAAAATATGCATATAAATATATATGAATGTTCACAAAATTTTCTCAAATATAAAACTTCCTAAAAATGAGCAAATGACTGTATGCAGATTTTCTACCACGACATACTTTTCATTTCAGCTTTGAGTTCCAGGGAATCTGCATTTCAGTAGGATTTGAATGAAGGGCAAATTCAAATCATGGGTTGGATGGGGCAGGGTGGAAACCAGTGTTACAATTTTTCTTCAGAGCCATTTTCAGGGAAAAGTAAAATTTCTAGAACTAGTTGTTAAGAATAAGGTCTTGAGAAATTAGGACAGAGCAAAAAATTCTTTGAGACATAGAAATATATCTAGGAAAGGATGAAATGTGGAGAAAAGGTTAAAGAAGTCTTGAAAACTAGAAAATTAAAATAAGAAGCCATCCCTTAGTCTATGTGTGGGATTGGCTCCCCCACAGATACCAAGACGCACGGTACTCAAGTCTGGCTCTTGGCCCTATACAAGCTGTGTGTCCACAAAATAGGCCCTCTATGCTGAGTTTTGTATCCCCATAGATGGTTGAAAAAAATTCCTGCATAGTGGACCCAGTTCAAACCCATGTTTTTCAAAGGCCAACTGTACCTACCTAAAATTAACTTAGCAGACAGAATAAGCGAAAGAAGAAAAAATCAAGAAAAAAGTGACAGAAGTTAGAAAATAAATGCAGAGGAAAAAGCTCTAAAGAACAGGCCCCTAAAATGGAAAGAGTCCTTGTTGATTATTGCAAATAAGACCATTATTGACTCTGAGAACATTGAGTGGGAAATAAGGTTGAAAGAAGAAAAAAAAAATCATTTAATTAGCTGACCACCTATTATGCACCAGATATATATTGATGACCTACTATGTGCCAGACAAGGACACAATTTGTGCCCTTGTGAAGCTTACAGTCTAATGGAGGAAGACACAGTAAGCGTGAGACATAAATTCTATAATGAATTATAAGTTTTTTTTGGAAAATATAGAGAGGGGATAAGGGAATCATAGGTTTCAGGAAATTAGGAAGAAAAATTTGGGAGTGGCAGGGCAGGTTTCACTGAGACAGTGTCTTTTCAGCAAAGACTTAAAAGGATTTGAAGGTATGCACATGAGTATCTTGAGGAAGAGTGGTCCAGGCAGAGGAAAGCACCCGTTGGTCTCTGGCACATTCAAGAAAAAGCTAGGAGATGGTAAGACAGAAAATGATAAAGGGAGAGTTATCACATTATCTTAAGGGGACTCTAAAGCTTTAGGTATTTTTATCTAAGACTGTAAGCTATTAGAGGGCTTTAAGTTAAAGTAATATTATGATCTGATTACATTTTGAAAGGACTGTTCTGGTTACTGTGTTAAGGACAGACTTGAAGGATGGTAGCAAGGGTAGAAACAGGGGGGGCCAGTGGAACTGTTGGGGCAATTCACGTGGGAGGTGCTGGTGGCTCAGACCGGGATGGTAGTGTGAGTGCTGAAATGGTCAGATACTGAATACCTTTCAGCCTAAACGACTTGTGGGTGGATTGAATGTGGGGTGTGGGAGTGAAAGAAGGAAAGAAGATAACTAAAATTCTTAGCCTCACTGACCTGAAAAACAGAGTTGTCATCAGCTGCAGTAAATTTTACGTGCAAGATTAAAATGGAAAGTGAAGGTTGAGGAGCTTAAGTATTAAAGTGGAATGCGGAGCAGAGAGGTCTGGGGTGAGGTAATAGCTAAAGACAAGTCATCAAGCAAGAGAGGATTTATACAATGACCAAGGACGAAGCTCCGGGACACTTCAAAGGTAAAAGGTCTAAGGTGAAAGGAAGTACCAGCCAAGAAGACTGAGCAAAAGAACAGGCGGAATCCTGATGCCAACCAGAGACAGCGCACCTGTCAGGAGCATGGTGTACTCATGAGAGTCAAATCACGCTGCCAGGCCTCGGGTAGTTTCAGTGAAGTAGAAATAGAAAAAGCCGCATTGGAAGGCATTTAAGAGAGAATCAGGAAAAGATACTGGACATAGTGCGTATAAATAACTATTCTTTGTATAATTTGACTATTCTAGGAAACAGAAATAGAGCCGTAGCGGTAGGGAAAATTGGACAAAGAAAAGTTGCACTTTGTTTCTATTTATTTTTAAAGTGACCGATAAAATCGTCCGTGTTTCTTATGTACAACATGATGTGAAGATATAGCATCAACCTACGTGTTCATCAGCAGATGAAGGGACAAAGTATTTGTGGCATATATTGCACATGTGTGCGTGCACACACACACACACACTCTCGTGGGACACTATTCAGCCGTAAAGAAGAACAAAATCCTCCCCTTTGTGACAATCTGCGTGACCGTGAAGGGCATTATGTGAAGTGAAATAAGGCAGGCACAAAACGACAAAAACCACATGATCTCGCTGACATGTGGAAAGTAAAGATGCTTTGTTTAAAGGTAAAATAATATTATGTTTCTATGCTAATGAAATACTTCTGGAAAAATAAAAAATTAATGGTGCAAGAGACGAGAAGAGGTGGCAAAGAAGAAAATTTGTAGAGCAACGTCTTAGAGTAGGTAATCAAAGATATAATCCTCTAGGGCAGAAATAAACAAATTAGAGCACAGAGAGCAGAGCGCAGTAAATCATCTGATACTCGTGATAGGAAGCTGGAAGGCCAAGCGTACAGGTGCGGAGGCTGCGGAGGACGAGATGGGAGAGTGGCACTGGGCAAGTTCTCTGCACTCATTTGCTCCTTGTGGTGGAAAGCAGAGTCCTCAACTGAGAGTGACTGAAAAGATAATTTAGAGGTGTGAGGGAAAGGGAAAGGGTTTTAAGTAGTCATCTGGGGAGGTAAGAAAGAAAACAGACTAAGGAAATACAGTGTGATTGCCAGTTAGCTTTAGCACTGACGTGAAAGAACTTTAAGGACCAATCTGGTTGTGAGTTAATCTTCAACCTGGCTCAGCTGCAGGGCTGTATACAGAGTGGGCCGAATTTAGTTTGACCAGGGCTGTCTGCCGTGAGTGTGTAACAAAGTGAGAGAGGGCAGGGTATCGAAGCTACGTATAAGGTGGAGCGGCTGCAGGGATTGTGTGCTTTAGGCTGGACACAAAGAAGAGAGGGTGTGAAGAACGTGAGAGGCAGTGACATGGGAGTATGATCGAAGAATTAGAGGTGCTGCTGGGGTTTAAGACCACTTAGATATTAAGAGGTTATTGCTAACATTTTAGGTTTAATAACTCTCTTTTCTATTCATGCATGTTAATACAGCTACAGATGAAAACAGCATGCCTTGCAGGGACTTCACATTATAATAAATGAAACCAAAATTGGCCCCGACTTGATAACTGTGGAAGTTGGTTGACTGCACATGAGAATTCTGTATACTATTTATTCTACTTTTGAAACTTCCTGTAACACAAAGTTTTTTTAAAAATTGGAAAGACATGAATATTTGATTATAGCAGATGCAAGCCTTAGAAAGCCAGCTGTATCAGCAGAGGTAATTGTCAGTCACAGGGGCCCCTATGAATCAGGTTACACAGGATCTGCATGGTATAGGCCATGACATTTTCCAGCATATGATTGGGAGTCAATGGCTGAGTTGGATTAAGATGAGATCATGAAGCCTGTAATCCCAGCCGGGAGGTCAAAGAAGGTGGATTGCTTGAGCTCAGGAGTTTGAGAGCAGCCTGAGCAAGACAGAGACCTTGTCTCCAGTAAAAATAGAAAAAAAAAAAAAAATTAGCTGTGTGGGGTGGCAGCTGCTTGTAGTCCCAGCTACTCTGGAGGCTGGGGCAATAGGATTGTTGGAGCCTAGGAGTTTGAGGTTGCTGTGAGCTATGATGCCACAGCACTCCACTCAGGGCAACAGAGTGAGACTCTCTTAAAAAAGAAAGAAAAAAGGAAGAGGTCATGAGTGGAGAGGACAAGAAACTGGACTTCAGAGAGATCTCTTGGACACATACTGAAACTGCAAGGAATTGAGACAAGGAATGTGGGAAAGAGGAATAGAGACTAGGGAGCAAAAATTATCACGATATGAGAGGGAAGAGAACAAACTGAGAATAGCCACACACAACACACTAGGAGAATATAATGGATATGCTGTGAATATGTAAGAGGACGAGCAAAGCTGTAGACCATATACGAACTCATTTTACTGTAACATGATGTTTAAACAAAACGCTATATGATGCTCAAATTATATCAATGATGACACTGCAATCTTCACACTGCTTGCAAAGCATGCTCCAATCAGCTTTTCTCCAGGAAGAACAATTTCAATCATTCCAGTGGCCTCAAACATTCCTTCTCTTCCCTATAAACGGTGTGAGGAGCTAGATGAAGGGACAAGCTAGTGATCAGTACCCTCACCCATGTGTGTGAATACTTTCATAACGTCAAATATGAACAATCTTTACATCGTCTCTACAACAATGGATGCATTCCCAGTGCACAAATGAGTTGTGTCATGCAACGTGGACATTGGCATAAAGAAAAGGTCTCTATTAGAAATTTATTTTACAAAATGGCTTTTTAGAATGCACAGTTAATGCAGCGTGGCACTAATAGTTTTAACTAGAAAAAAATGTTTTCAAGCAATACACATTATTACATAACATGAGATTTTTAAATCGGCATATCTAAAAATTTATTTTTAACTTGCCAGGAAGTCTCAAATGAACAAATTACTTTAGACTTTGGAAATGAATAAAAACACATTCCCAGGACACATAAAGGTTTTTGTTTGCAAAAAGTAATTGAAGTCACTCAGCCACTGGGTGATTCTGTCCTGCCAAAGGGAGAACAAATGACAGTCTTTCTTGCATGACAGATAATATTCAAGTACAAGTACGCCGGATTGGGATCCAGGAGACGAGAGTGCACCTCTTTGACAAGTTTATCTGATGTTAACGAAGTCAGCTTGCTTCTCAGGG